GAATTTATGGTTTTTAATTAGGTGGCAAGACCATTAGGGGAATGGTATCAAGTGTAAATAGGGTTATATCTAAAGATGTCGTGCAAATAAATAGGCCTCCTTCCTTGTCTTTTGAATGAACTAGTCAGAGTTAAACGTGCATTGCACGTTATTTTGAAATATTTTACAAATACTGTGAAAGTAATATTTGACCCTTCATTTATCATTTTGATTTAAATATGAGAAAAATGTAAGCCCTTAAAAATAAATGTTAATTATTATGCATGCAGGTAAATAGTAAAACGTAAACTTGAACATGGGTATTAGAATTACAATTAAACGTAAAATGAAGATAAATGACAAATAAAATATATAAATTAACGTGAATGTTAATTAATTTAGAATTAATGCAAATGAATATATACGTGACAATGAATGTTAAATTATTTAAATTAAATGAATAAAATTTAATTTTCAATTAAGTGAAATTGATGCTCATTAGAGTACATTGGTGTGAATAACGAATTTTATTCTTAAATGTGAAATTCTTATTAATATTAATTAAATGAATGTGAATATTAATTAATCAAGAATCAATAACAGGAACATGAACATGAACGTGAATGTTAATGTAAAATTCTAATTAATATTAATTAAATGAATGAGAATGTTAATTAATTGAGAATTAATAATAGGAACATGGACGTGAATGTCAATGTCAATGTGAAATTCCAATTATTACCAATTAAATAAACGTGAATGTTAGTTAACTGATAATTAATCAATTAATTACAATGAATATATGCATGAACAATGATTTCGTAATATTTATTATAGTGCCCGTTTGTTTTCAATTAAAATCCACTTTTAAGCAAGATTCCAACCGTTGAAGGGGCCGCACCTGGCAGCCAATCTTGACTTGCACTCACATGGTTTTTAGAAATTTGTGCTGAACGGTTGGAAAATCAATTTCCAACCTTCTACAAAGTGGCTCCAAACAGGCACGTAGTTTGTAAATTAAATATTTATTGAAAAACGAAAAGTCAAGTATTATTGAAATAATTGAATTGTAATAAGGATATAATTGTCAAAAAAATAATTCTCATTTGATGTGATATTTAACATATTATAGATTATAGATGTGGTGCTTTAGAAGGCAAAAGCACCTTCCAATCTACTGTCCATCAGAGCTAAGGGTTAAGTAGATGGTATAGACCTTCTGACTTTCAACTATGTGTTTTACGGCTTCTGTGAAGCAAATGAAGGAAAGCTCAAAGAGCTTATGGGTGAGCTTATGCTCACTCTCGACTTCTTTGATTAATAGGTGAGTGAACTATTTGAAGAGATTGAAATTGATGTAAAGAAACTATTGATTTCATGTGAAAGTTTAATAGTCAAAATAGTTTATTTGAGTTCTCAAGATTTCAATATATTGATGTACAATTTAAATGCAATATTATCAAAATTGAAAGCAGTCTACAAAATGATACGATTATAAATCACTTAAATTAAAACTTGTGAAAACCCGAACAAATGTCACGTCCAACCGTAAAATCGATTCACCTGGCATGAGAGCTAAATATTTGTTTGATCCCCATTATTTCAAAAATATATTTTTTTTCAATCACACATTATTCAATAAAATAATATTATATGTAAATTCAATTTTTATTTTTTATTTTTTAATTAGACATTTTTCATCTAACTACTATTTTAAAATGCATTATTCAGCGTGTGTTTGAATCTCATTAAAATGAGAATATAATTTTTGAAATAATGACTAATGGGAAAAAAGTGTAGTGGAAAAATAATGAAAAATTTTAGATTTTTGTGTAATATTATTTTATTTGAAGAATATGTGGTTGAAATGAAGGATGGGAAAAAAATGAGAATGAATTCAAACGGGGATGAGGTCAAACAGGCTATCCTATTAGAGAAATTAAGCCCGGTTCGCTTTATATTTCAGTCACGATTTATGGGCCCGGAAACTCAGGGGCCCAAAACCTAAATCTTTCCGATGATCTAATTGAAGCCGGGCACCGCATAGGTTCGGCGATTCCTTTGTATTTGTATATGTAACTGTGTTGTTCTTCCGATCAGTATTTCCCAATTCCTGTTATTCTAAATGCTTTCGTGTGAGGTACTATAATTATCAAACAGGGTTTGTCCATATTTTTTTTCCCCTCTCTTTTACAATGAAAATGGCACTGTCGACGGTAAAATCAATCGAAACGGCACTTGACCTCATCGACTCAAAGAAAGAGAACCTGAAGAAAGCGTTTGAGGATTTACAGTCGCATTCTACTGCTTTATCCTCCTTTACTTTCACATGGTCAGACCTCGACTCGTATTTTTCTTCAATTCAATCGGACTTGCTGGAAAAATTTTCGACTCTCCAATCGCTCGAATCGTCGCAGACCCAGACCCAGACCCAGAAATTTAAACGCAAGAAACTGAAAGATTCGGTCACCGGGGATCCGATTCCGGCCCGATCTGAATTGAAGTTATTTTGCGAGCAGATGGATGGGATGAGGTTGAGGAAGTACATAATTGAGCGGCACAGAGAACAGACCGCGATCCGGGTTGAGCTGCTGGACGCGTGGAAGAGTGCGGCGGACCCGGGTGCGATGATTTTGGATGCCCTGGAGGGGTTTTGTGATGGAGGATCAGTTTCGTCGTCGGACCTGGGTGGTTTGAGGAGGGCGTGTGTGGTATTGTTGGAGGAATTGATGAAAGCCAGAGTAGAGATTGGGCCGGAGGTTAGGGAGCGGGCGAGGGCCATGGCGGCAGACTGGAAGGCGAAAATAGAGGCTAACGGTGGTGGTGGGGATGAGCGGGACGAGGAGGAAAAGGGTTTGGTGAAGTTGGGCTATTTGCAGCTCTTGGCTACTTACGGGTTGGTGAGTGCTGGTGGGTATGATGTGAATGGGCTCATTGATTATGCTGTTGTGATTGCAAGGTGTCGACAAGCTGTTGACTTGTGTCGAGCTCTTGGACTTGGCAATAGGATTTCTGGTAAATTTGATACTTTTCTGCTTTTCTGGTACCAGGCTCTTTTGCTATAAAGATCTCATTATTATTTCTGTGTTATTTTTTACTATATCAATGTACTGTTGTCTTGCATTTTTGTTGTTGTTCCTTGTTAGTTGCATTCTGATCTTTTGGTGCTGCATATGAAACTTGGATGTCTTGAATTCTGGGAGAATCTAAAAGCATTTAGTCTAATGATATTGAGAGATGAAGTATTGGTTTAATTGGATCATACTTCTTAATAAATTGACTTAAATGGAAATGACAGTGGTTTCGTGCGCTTATTTTAAACTCTCTCTCCCGAGGTCTATTGTGGACTACGGATGGAGGAGAACTTGACAACTCATGACACTTGTCATATTTTTGCTGCTTGATGACATTGCTTTCTTCAGTTCACTGCATAATTTAATACCACAAGTGCTACATACGTTAGGTCCCCATTTTGAATCTGCATATAAAGATTAGTGTAATTATTATTGCACATTTCACCGTCGTGTATTTCTATCAACATGCATGTCTATGTATGAATTATATATTCATTCTGCAACATGCATATGGTCCTCATCTTATCATGTATAAAATGGTATAGTTCTCATTTATATGCTAGAACAAGAAGAGGATTGCATCTATTTTGGAGTTGGAATTACCAATTCAAACGAATAATAAGTTAGTGGATAATTAAAAACTATTGTTGATTAAATTGGGCCTTACTCTCAAAGTTTGGGGTTGATAGAAACTTGTGCAACTGAGGTGGGTGCAACATCTATATTTTTAGTTTTTGTCACTTTAGTTACTTCGTAAATATCTAAAGATTCCAGAAATAGAATTAGACACGATCAACTCTGGTATTGGAACCAGAAGCTATGCATCTCGTAGGTCTCTCCATTCCCAAATCCAACTATAAGATTGGAACCTTGCATGGCTTAGCATCTCGGCAAGCAATGTAGAAAGCATTGCAGTGCAATGAGAGGGGGGTTATCTGTAAGTGATTGTGATTTTTTTCCATTGGAAAGTAACCTTTTATAGAACGGATATGTTTGTGCTGTTGTCTTCTTATGTAGAGATAGGTGCGGAAATAGCTTAGATGATTTGGTAAGAAGTGTTATCTTGAAATCATTTTCTTTTGCTCGTCCACAAGCAAATTCACCATGTGCTATGCACTTGTGCCTTAGCAAGTTCAGGACCTACTCAATGGTACCCCTTAATTGCATATGCTGTAAAAGCTCTTTTGTTCATCTTTTTAATAGTTTGACGCCTATAGCAATAGATATGGCTTCTCACAGATGTTATTCAGAAACTCATCAGCAAGGGCAAACAACTTCTGGCTCTCAAATTCATTTTTGAATTTGAGCTGACTGATGAGTTTCCCCCAGTGCCATTATTAAAAGCCTATGTGATAGATATGGAGGAAGATGTTCAAAAAATTCGCAAGAGTGGCAAAAGATCTCGTCAGTCTTTGGTAATCTTTCATATCCGGTTTTTGGTAATAATTAGTTTCACACCAGATGCTGTAGACTGACATTTTCAATTGCTTGTGCAGAATGAGGCTGTGATGAAAGAAATCAGTGCATTGAAGTCAGTGATTAAATGCATTGATGATCATGGTCTAGAGTCTCAGTATCCGAAACATATCCTTGTAACTCGTATTGAGAAGCTGGAGAAGGAAAAGGTTGACAAGAAACACCCTGCAACAGGCCCTGTACCCAAACCTCAGCAGCAGGCAAAAAACCAGAAGCAGAGGGGAAACAAGCGAATGAAGGCAGTTGCTCTTCCATCAGTAACCAAAAAGAAAAATCGATCTAATCCAGTTGTTCTCCCATCACAACCATCCCACGTGCAGACGGCAGGTTTGTTGCCAGATCATGCTGCTCTGCACCACAGTTCTCCTGCTGGAGTCTATAGCAGGGCAGTACCCCACGTAGCTGCCGACATGTATGCTGGCTCATCCGCTGGCGTGCATGGGTTCACGGGAGCCCATATGGGCTTTTCTGGGAACCTTAATCAAACTGCAGCCACTGCTTATCCATCAGAACAACAAGGGCAACCTAGTTACTATGGCGCTGCAATTGGTTATGGTGGATATGGCATGCCAGTACCACCTCAGTACCATCCAGGTTACTATCCACAGTAGTAAGTGGTTCTGCAAAATTTGGATGGTCTCCATGCATGTCTGATTGTAGACATCCATTATCAGAAGGCATGGCATGCTTTTTGATTACCGTGATTTTGGCACAGTAGCCAGATTTGTGTCTTTCCTATATATATATTAATATGTGGGACTCTGGTGATGTGTTTCAACCAGCCTTCATGGTATCAATTGGGATTAATCATGACTTGTTTCATGATAATCATTCACTTTAGAGCTTTTTCAGGACAAATAGGAACTTTTTACTGGATAGTAGTCCTATCATTTTTTCCCCGTGTGAAATTGTATTAGGATTCCGTGCTTTCAAAACTTATCTGGTTGCCATCATACTACATATACTACTGTTTTCAGCAGCTGCTTGAACATGCATGGTTTCCCCTTTAATCTGCACGTGGTTTTCTATTTTGAGTTCTTTTCTTTTAGTTTTTTGTGAAAAGAAAAGACAGACCATCTGCTAATATTTATGGTTACACCCTCAAAGGACTTCAATACCATCTACCTCCTTTTACTGTTTTTATATCCCCCCCCCCCCCCCCCCCCCATGTTTCCTGTGTAGCCTATGAATTGCCTGCAAATTACAGATTATCTTAGACCTCAGTTGTTTCTTTCAGCTGTTAGCAAAACTTTATTTTTTGCCAACTTTATTTGGATCCTTTGAAGTCGGTCTGCCTTTCAAGTTAACAGTGCATCAAATGTTTTACCAACATTTGCAATGTAGGATTGTTTTGCTAAACTTTGTGATACCCGTTATGGTGAAAGTTTAGTAGTATTGCTGTATTGCTTTGAGCAATGTTATTCATCCCCACTGGGGATGAATAACATTACTCTATTGCTTTATGAATTGATGGATATCTCATGTTATAAACGCGTGAGATGCATGCAAGACCAGTTTGTGGTTGTAACACTCATATGAACTATGATGAACCTGCATCCGTGCCTGAAAGGGCAATTAGTGTCCTTTATTCACCAGTGACAAAGATGCCCGAGTAGCTCCATTGATTTGGGCATTGTCATGCTCATTCCATCTGTTAGAATCACAGTGTCATCCCCCACACCTCCATTTGCTGCTTTGTGTAGGCATATGCTTCATTTAGCCTAAGGTTCTATTATCGACGTTGGAGTTGTTGCTGTTTTGGGATATAGAATTGGGAGGATTCAATGTTGTCGTAGTAGTAAGGGTATGAGAACAGGAATTGTGGCCTTGATGTCGAACTTAAGCTTTTAAGAATTTGAAGAAGCGAGTCAAGTTTTTCAACATGTGGACATGGCTCCGTAAATCTGATGTATCACCGATTGAACTAACTATATTTGTATATCTACTTGATGAATTGCCAGTTTTTCTTTCATTTTAAGAGATTTTTGGTAAGACTTTTGAAAAGTCAAAAGCTGTTTCTGAGACTAGAAGTTGCTTTTAAACACATGTACATAATTTTTTGGAAGTCTTTGTCTGACTTGAAGAAACTTCATCTCAAAGATGTAGAAGCAGAAGTAGAAGTTTTGCCAAACAGATTATAACCTTAATATGCTTAATAATGCTGTAATATATTTTTTTGTAAGAGCTTGCAAAGGATGGAAACAAAAAGTGCTAATTTTCCTTCAATTTATGTTGTCTTACAATTGAAGAATATAACCTACCAAAAAAAAAAGAAAAAAAAAAGGATTAAAAAATTTGAAAAATGTTTGTAGTACATCATCATTTAAATAATGTTTTATATATTGATGAGGTGTTAAAAAGAATAATTGTTCTATACATGCATAATGATTTACATGCACATGTTGTGGATGAAAATTATTGGGTATGAACTTCTTCAATCAAATAAAAGAAAAAGACTTTTCCACTTTCTTTTTTTGACACATTATCTGTATGTAAATTATTATATTCAAGTAATATTACTTTTCATAAGAAAGTGGAAATTTTTTTTTTTTTTATTTGCTTGACGAGATTTTGATTCAATCATGTGATCTCATCTCATCTCATGTCATGTCATCCATTGATAAATAAATCTATCAGCGTGATGTAAATCTAGCACATGTGGTTTTCCATTATAAACATATAACAAAAATATTGGACGGGGACAACCAATGGGAACACAGATCTGAACCTTCAAAGTCACCTGCGTAGTACCAGAACCGCGCCCTCTCCGACAAGCGATATCTATGGTCGAACTGCAGACAACCTCACTCGAAATTACCACCCTACCCACTCTATCAAAATTCCAGAAATACCCCTGCCCACTTTCCCTCTTTCAAAAAGCTGAAAGATGATCGCTTAAAGACTCTCCTTTTTCCTCTTAATTTCTCGTCAATGGAAGATTCTCAGTCACTCCATCACTCTCCTCCCGATAGCTTCAGCAGTCACGCAACAAATGGCGGAAGCTCCGCCGCAGTCGCCTTTCCCGATGGCGTCGCCGGCGGATCGATTAACGGAGCGAAGTACAGGCTTATGTCTCCGGCGAAGCTCCCGATCTCCAGGTCCACTAGTATTACGATTCCTCCTGGCCTCAGCCCGACGTCGTTCCTCGAATCCCCTGTTCTTCTTTCCAACATTAAGGTGCCTTTTTTTTATTCACACAAATTGCTTTATTTGTTTTTACTTTTTTTGCGCTTTATGGAAACTTTGTGCTAATTGTACTCATTTTAATAGCTAAAAGATTCAGATTTGGATCCGGTATCTAGTTTGTCTGGGAAGGCACTGTTTGGTTGCTGAATAAGGCTAAGAAAGTTGGGAAAAAATATATCAAACATGGGTTAACTAAGTAATTGCATGCTGATAGTTTTAACCTCGTGCGAATCTTAGGTTTGTCAAAATTGCATATGCTCAATTTTTATGCTATTGAATGACCAAAAATGATTTTGTGCTGAGGCCAGAATGCCTGTAGTGGGGAATTTATTAATGTGTGGGCGACCTCCATTATCGATTTAATGCTTTTTCATCATATTGTAGTTTAATGTATTATCTTTTTTATCTGAGTGCTCATTTGGAGAATATTAAAATGTTCTGCGAATAATATATGGTGTCTGTGGGTGGACATGGAACCTTGAAGTATTGATGCTCTCATGAGGATGTGTTATATTGGTTTCATCATCGAAACATCTTGAGCACCTCTAATACCTTTCGTATTTTATATACTTTTGAAGAGTATTAAATTTCACCGTTGTTTCTTCACATAATGGATATTCCTTTCATGTTGGGGTCTGGCATTTTCCTTTTTGTGGTTCCCTTGAGAAAAAGAAGTTGCACTAAACTAATGAGCAGCATCAATACTATTTATGCCTTTGTGATTGTCTGGCATTTGTCACAATTAAGTATGTCAAACAAAGGTTTCATGGTACAAAATTTGATGATAGCACCTCTATATAACCCTACCTCTATAAATGAAAAGGGGAAGTATTTATTCTGTTTTGCTTACAGATAAAGCGAAAAATTACAGAAGAAATAGGAACCCCCCTTCGGCCCTTCTGGAGTGTAGAGTTTTGATTGTTTATATGCTATTTAGTGGCTGTTGACTAAAAACATCCCAACGGGACTGTTGATTTCACAGGCAGAGCCTTCTCCAACAACAGGTTCTGTTTTCAAGTCTCAATTGATGCAAGGCTCTGGTGGAAGCACAGCATTGTCGTTGGACAAACATTGTTCCAGTGGCAATGCTATTGACCAAGGAACATCCAGCAGTTTCGAGTTTAAGTTTCATTCTGGCTCTAGTTCTGCACTGCGATTATCGTCCATGGGAGTGGCGGTATGGAATGCTCTCTCTATATGTTAATATATGCACACACCATGACATATACATCTCCATGGGTGCGGGTGAATGAATGACACCAAATGATCATTTCATTTTCTATGGTGAGGGCATATAGAATATACCCAAAAAGAATCAAAATAATTCTGTTTTATTGTTTCTTCCTAATAAGATTTGAAATATAATCTTATTTCATTTTTAGAACATAATGATAGTTCTAAAGAAACTGTTTGGGCAAAGAATGTGCACATATTTGTTTTCTTAATACTATATGATCACCAGTGGTCATGGTGATTAAAGATTTTTCTTATATCCACTCATTAGTTCTGGATATGTTTCGTGAACAAGATGATGGATGTTACATTTATTTAACTTAGAGCTTCCATCTGTTTTGCACTTTCCCAGTCTTTGTCAAAAACAATGTTAACAGCTGGTGAAACAATGGATATTAAATTCGGTAGACTTTGTAATTTTCTTGCATACTACCATTTTAACGATTATTATAAATCATATGGTTGGACTAAATTTCATGAAATTCAACTCAATGTCCTTTATTCTTTATGTTGATTGTCTCTGAATTCTAACTCCTCTATGATAGTTAAAGAACTCGCAAAATTTGAACCTTTTATTTATGAATATTTGGATGATTTTGGTTCTGGTACACCGAATCATTTGATTTTGTCAAAGATTCCTGCAGGTTTGTACAGGCAGCAGAATGGACCCCGCAGTCAAGTTCAAGATCAACTGTTTCCGCAGTCTTCAGTATCTTCGGCTTTGGTTACATGTGAGCTTCCAAGCTCAAAAGATTTGAGAATATCTGCACCCACAAGTGTGCCTACTTCATCAGTTTGTGATGTTGACGAGTTAAATCAGGAAGGTCAGTCCAATTCCTGCATTCAAGTGTCGTCTACTGATAATAAAGATTGTGTTTCCTTAGTAACGGGCGAGAGAACATCAGATGATGGGTATAACTGGAGAAAATATGGGCAGAAACTTGTTAAAGGATGTGAATTTCCTCGAAGTTATTATAAATGTACATATCCTAACTGTGAGGTAAGAAAGTTTGTCGAACGTTCTCCTAGTGGAAAGATAACAAAAATTGAGTACAAGGGTTCACATGGTCATCCAAATCCTCAACCTGCCCGTCGATATAATCCTGGTGCTCTTATGTCCATACAAGAGGACAAATTGGACAAGGATTTATTGTTCAGTAGTCAACAGGGTAATTGGACTAACTATTTGATAATTTCTCCACTTAGCATATATAATGCACCATAATGCAAAACCTTAGTAGTCCCATTGTGCTCTTTTATGTTGCACACTTGAATGTTTGTTCTCATTATCATTTTATTATCTTGCTGAAGACAAGTTGAACACCAATACTCTGAGAAGAATTTCAGGCCATTGATGAAGATGATCCATTTTCAAAGCGGAGGTAATGCCATTATACAAATGCATTAGATTTTTACTGTTTTTCCATGATAACTTAAATTGTTTTGAACTCTAAGCAGGAAGAAAGAGGATGATCTTGATGTTACACCAGTGGTTAGACCCATTCGTGACTCACGTGTCATCGTTCAAACTGTGAGTGAGGTTGATATACTGGATGATGGATATCGTTGGCGTAAGTATGGGCAGAAAGTGGTCCGAGGAAATCCAAATCCCAGGTGTGTGGTCAAGTTCAACATGCATTTAAATGTTGAATTTGAATTAAGTTGTATTCTCATTTTGGACACACTGAATTAGATCAGATGGATAATTTCCATTTACCCTCTCTGGTTTTGAGATAAAATGCTTATACCTGCATGATCTGGGAACTGCTTTTATTGGTTTCACAACAGTTTTAACCTTGACCATTTTGACTAGCTTAAATTTCATGCAAGTTTTGTTCTTATTCAACCATCACAATAAATTTTGCCTTATTTGCTATTGTGAGATGTCCAAGATGACAAAACAATCCTCATAGGAAAAGTAGAAGTTAAAAGGGAAAAAGGTCAATTTTGTTGTGGAAGTAAAAAGGAATAAGGCTGAAAATGAAGTTTGCATCTAAACATGTGAAGTGTTGCACACCCTTTGGCCTCTACTATCTGTGTACTTGCAAGCAAATCATGCAAACTCATTGTGTTTCCTTCAGAAGCTGATAGAATACCAACCGCTGCATGTTTTCCTTAATATTTAAGAATGAACTTAGAGCTTGTTTGATCCCCATTATTTCCAAGATACGTTTTCCTCTCTTCTTTTTAACCACACATTCTTTAATAAAATAATATTATATGCAAACCCAAAACTTTTCCTTATTTTTTAATCACACTCTCCATCAATTTACTATTCCAAAATGCATTTTTACAATATAATGGGGCTCAAACAGGCTCTTAATGTTAAATGGAATCTTTACTACTTAAGCAGTGAAAACTTGGGTTTGTATTCATTTGGATCTAGCTGATATTTTGTCACCTTGTACGCATACTTATGGACTTGATAGTACTTCACATAAAATTGTCCTTTGCATGCAACCTCTAATTAAACCTACTACATTTTTCTGCGCTAAAACTGTGGTGTTTTTATGATTATTTCATCTGCAATGAAGGAGTTACTACAAGTGCACAAATGCTGGATGTCTAGTCAGGAAGCATGTTGAAAGGGCATCCCATGATCTCAAAGCAGTTATAACTACATATGAGGGTAAACACAACCACGATGTCCCGACTGCCAAGAACAGTAGCCATGAATTTGCAGGAACCATGCCATTTAGTGGTACTTCGAGAATGAAGCCAGAAGATAAAGGCTCGCTTAGCCTCAATCTTGGGGTCGGAATTAACCAGAATCAAACTATTGGGCAGATGCACAACTGGAATGCTGAAACTACACGAAGCCAAATTCCACCTAGTGATACCAGTATGATGATAGTTCAACCATCACAAATCCCTCGCTATGGTTTTGTAAATGGAGGGTTGAATCTGTACAGAAATAGAGAAAATCGCGTTGAAGGGCTCGACTTTCAGAGTCAGCCTGTACTAGCTTCTAGCCAATGTCCACAAAACCTTGGAAGAATTCTTATGGGTCCTTAAAATTGTTTCTGAATATTGATAAAAATATAGAAATAATAGATTTACCATATTTTCCAGTTCCTTTGTTAATGAAAGGTGAATGGTTGTACTTACAGGGTGAAGTAATTTCGAATGCTCTCTTTCCTTTTCTGCTTCACGAATATTTTCCATCTTCAAGTGTTTCTCTATGTCAAGTATTCGATGCAACCATGTCGACTCTTTTTTAATACTTGTGACTACAAAGACGAGCCAATTGAGCAGGTTAAGTTTTGGAGAAAATGACTTGCTAAAAAGTTTCGAGGAACATTTACCAAGGGGAGATAGAATCTCGTGATATAGAGCAGGCTTTTTGTTCGTTTGTGGGCTGCGGGGATGAAATTTGTCACCAAGAAATTGAAAATAAGTTCATATCATAACAAAAAAGTATAAGTAGTCTTTTGTTTTTAGCGTGTTCTAGAGAAAACCAATGGAAGACCCCACTAAGGAGTACTGGGTAAAAAATACACTGCAATTACTTCATCCTTTGTCTACTTGTCATTTAGATGAAAGATACAAGTACTTTCTTGAATACATTTAGGGAAGGTCTGAAATCTACATGTGGGAATTTAATGAATCAACACAAAATCATATAAATTCTGTCTCTCTCTGTGCCCACCAGAGCCTTTTAACGAACGATCAATCACTTCAATTTTTTCAGAAGGGCCCTTTTGCATCTCAGGACTCGGAGGGAGAGAGTCTACAATTGCTGCTATACCTAGGTAAATCTGTAACTATATGACGAGAAGCGTGAGCTTCAGTTGTGTGAGAGAGATGATGAACTTATTTATTCATATTCACGTGGAGGTCAAATTCATTTTTTCCTCAAGGCATGAAATGGCACCATTTTCACATATTTTGGATGAGGTGGTTCGTCATGTATCAGACAGCATGCAAAAGACTTGAGTTTAAGTCTCGCCTCTACCCATTTATGAAAAGATTGTGCATGTGTGAAGCCTTAATGAGAAAAATGAATTCGACTTGCAGAAGAAGAGAGTGTTGAAAATGTATACAGTGTAATTCTTTTGTGTCTTGCAGACGGAAAGGTAGTGTCTCCAACTTACCCAAAGAAAAAATTCAGAAAGGAAGATGCAGGGAATGTGGATAGCTTTGACACAGAACATGAACTGTGGTAATAAAGTAACAGATGTAGCTTGTCATCCTGCAGAGAGGAAAAGCAGCAGATCTGAAAGAAAGCCAGAAAGTGAACTCACTGACGGCACAGAAAATTTAGTGATTCAACCCAGATTCAGGCAGAATCGCTTAAGAAAGAGGTTTTATGGTGAGATATTGGATTTACTGTCGCCATTTTCGGCTATAGTTTCACAATACTAATGCAAATAATTTCTTCATGACAACAGAGTTGGAGATAGGGGATCCCTCGAGGAATATAATCGAGAAAATCTTTCAAAGAAGTGCAACTAACCAAAAAAAGTATGCCAGGAAGACACAGAGAGTCCTAAAGGTGATTAATTCATTGGAAATTTATAAGGAGTTTGAAAAGCACAGAGAGGCTGTGAAAAAGAAATCTTATGAGCAGTTTAAGAGTCATCCAAGAACCATCGTGGATGGAAATGAGTTGCTACTGTTCTATGGAACAACAATGAGCTGCTGTGGTTCGAAAAGAAAACAAGTATCTGAACTTTGCAAAGATCCCACTTGCCGTGTTTGCAGAGTAATTCAATCTGGTTTCAACACTTCATACAACAAGAAAAATGGGATTCAACTAAACATGGATAGTGGGGAAATGAGTGAGAATAAAACTGTGATTACAAAGGGAAAGAATGTGAAGAGAGCTGTAATAGTTTGTCGAACAATTGCTGGTGAAGTTATTGAGCATGAAGAAGTGTATGATTCAGTTGGAACTGGACCGTATTCCAAGTCAGAATATCTAATTTTACAAAATCCAAGTGCTGTACTTCCCTGCTTTATAGTAGTTCTCGGCTAATTCTAATTCTGTATCTCTTCAAGATCTGCATAAATTACAATTTTGTCAACTTATGCAGATTTCGTCGTTAACATATTTTTAATGTATGCAGATTTTGTTGTTATCCTCTTCAAAATGAAATGTTTTACTAGACGTTACTAAATTTTTGAAATATCTAATTGCACATTATAGCTCAATAGAAAAAGTTACATACAGATATCCTTGCAAATACTAGTCAGTGTCTGCAAATAACTACCAGATTCATTGATAAAAGAAAGGGATCTACCTGATGTTTAGAATAAAAATCTCTACCATATATAAGGATTTTATTTCCAGGCACAGGATGCAACTAAATCCTTATTCTTCCAGCCAAGATATAGAGCTCCGTCTCTCTCTTCAAGTCTGTAGTTCTTACAGTAGTTCTCCAACAGAGTCTTGATAGTAGCATTTACAAAGGAGCTCAACGGGTAAGGAGTAAACCCAGCCATAGAAAAGCGTAGCCTCCACTTTTCAAGAAGCTCATGACGTTCCACTCTCTCTGGCCCTTCGCATGCTATTATGTTGACAATATCACGAGCCAGACAAAATTGCTCGACGTTGATGCGTTCCTTCTGATCCCTAGGTAAAGCCACATCGATCGATTCAAATACAGCCAGGTAATAGTCCAGTGTCTCCATAAACCGGGGAAAGAATGGGGCTGTATTAGTGTCTGATTCTTGCTCTACTAGAGTAACAACCTTTGGTGACAAGTTCTTGACCATCCTCAATATTCTGTCACGATGATTTTCAGTGGCAACACTCTCATCTGGCATGTGGTGTAGCATGAGTGCAAAATTTACAGCCAGTGCTTCCCCTGGCTGAACCTTAAGATGTTCACTCTCAACATCACAAGCAGAAATTGGCATGGCATGGAACTCAAATGGTACTTTACATGATTCCGCTATAATTGATAACCTCTGACCCACAATTTCAAGCCCACCTCCTCGGGCATAAGCTGATGTGGAATCATCTATTCCTGTAATGCGGACGTCTGGAGGCCCACCAGGCCGAGCAGCAAGAGCGTGGATCAGAGTGATCCACTGGCTGCCCTGAGAAATCTGAAAATCAATTATATGTATCCTGTTTTCATCTTTCATTGCATCTGCAATGGCCCCGTTTGCTGACAAATATCCAAATTTGAAATAAGGACAGATTTCATAGAGAAAGTGCATGTACGACAGGAGCTCATCACTGGTGGGCTCTTTGCACCTTAGCGCTTTATAGATGGAGCTTCCCGACGAGGATAATCTTGCAACCAACCCCTCCAACATGTAGGCTGCTAACCGCTGTTGTGGTTCTCCAGAAACTGAAACCATTAAGCGTAATTCAGACATCAACCACTCATAAGTCAATACATCATTATCCGAGACTGCTTTTGCACAGGCAGCCATGATCTCTTTTAAGTTTCTTCTCTGGATCATCTCTACTGCTTGCTTGGACAACTGTGCCTCCAGTGAATTTTGATTAACTGCACCTGAAATGGTATTTTGTGCATCCAAGATTTGAGTTTCAGGCCCCAGCATAACATTCTCCAGTTCTTTTAATTTGTGCTCCAGGTCATTAACATTATCCACTGAATGAGACATGTTTGCATCCAAATAATAGTTATGGTAACTTGAATGATTCATATCTGATGAATGCTCCTGCTGACAAACAGGACTTCCATTGGGTGAAAAACTGACAGTAGAAGGAGAATTACAAGCAAGTAAGCTTCCACTTCCTGTGGATGATTCGATGGTGCTATGCTGTTCAGGTGTTTGAACAGAGAATTGTGTAATACCACCTTCATAGTTTGTGCAGAGATCTAGATTATCTAATGGAGCTAACAAATAGGACTCGAGCTCATCGAGAGGTTGATTGTAGAATCTGGTGGCCCCATCTAAACTCCCATGGTTCTGAGATGTCTGCATCCTGCAGTAACCAACTCTATGATTTAGCAGTACAGTAGAAAATTTAAGTCATCCGAGAACTTGGTTATGGAAAAATCAACCTTGGCCACAACAAGTTACGCGCTCCGACATTTAAAGTTCCAAGGGAGAGATCATTACTTTAAATCGACACATCCTGCAAAAGACTAGGTGAAATTATTATAGAGAAAGGATTTCTCATGCATATGGAAAACAAGCAGAACTTCTTGAGGGTCTTCGTGAGGATATAGGAGAGGTGCGTTGAGGAGTGGGCCCCAAGCACCTGGGCAACTTGGACAACTCTATTATAAGCTTCAAAACCAGAACTTAAAACCAGTCTTTAGAGCTTAAATCCAACTATAAACGAGTCTATAATCTCTATCGTGGAGGAAGACAATAGTATAATAGCGTATAAAGGAAGAGAGAAACTTGTCGCCCCACATAATGGTGGGGGAAAATTAAGGCAGAAGCTTCTATCTGACCAATTAGAAAATCCACAGAGTCAATATGATTAAGAGAGCAAAAATTAAGTTGTTGTGCACACATGTTTCATTTCTGCATATACATGCAGCATACCACAAAATTGTGTATCCTAGCATGCTGATAATGTTAAGGCCTAAAAGAACATTAAATTACCAACTTAGTATTCGCAGAAAACCTAGTACTAGTAAATTCCAGGGCTACATAAGCAACAAAGAGATTAAAAATAGTTGGAAAAATTATAAAGTGCTAAGGGAGGGGGAAATGTAACCGAAAAATAAGATTAATAAAATTGTGTGTGACAACCACCACCAATTGATCCCCAGAGGTTTTCATGTAGCAAAGCCAAACATCATCGAAAAGCTAAACTACAAACTAGATCTTGTCTGATTAAATTCGGGGAGAGCTCTATAAATTCTTATCTACAAGTTCCAGTAATTAATTTGAAGATTGAGGATGAAGTCACAGGCAGATATAAAATTTATTAGAACTTCAAGTAAAAGCTCAAGAAATACACAACGCCATACTCAGACGCCATAAATTCTACTCAAACTCAGCTAAAACATTAAAAATAACATATAATAATAACCATAAATTCCTTGCTAACCCCCCCCCCCCAAATTGATTTTGATACCAAGAAACAGTATCTGGAGAATTCAGAAGAAAATCATAAGAAGTTCAGGTAAAAGCTCAAGAACCACACAGTTTTCAGATGTGTGTGTAAGAGAGAATCAAAAGATCCCAGTTTTACAAACCCACCCATATCTCAATCTACTCAAACTCAGCTAAAGCATTAAAATTTAACATATAATAATTCCTTGTTAATCCTCCCCCACCCCCCCCCCCCAACCCACGATTTTGACACCAAGAAACAGTATCTGGAGAATTCAGCAGAAATTGTATTCTCTGCTTGGAGAACTTACGTACCTTTCACTGATAGCTTCTTTGTAATTTTTCAAGATTCTAAACTCCAAATAAGTTTTCAATGGTATATATTCTTTGTAACAGGGAAAATTGTAGTAACAGTGGCCACTTAATTGCAGATTTATTACAGTCGTTGTTCTGCTGACGCGGTTTCCTCTACCCGAGATTGATTCCATAGTCAAAGAAAGGGATAAAGTTCACCTGACCTTTTAGTTGCAAGTTTTGTCCCAACTTGACTTTTTGTTTTAAAATTGATGAATATAAATTAACAAAAATATAGCTCTAAAAGATCTAAAATGAACAAGTAAATCTGATGATAAAAAGTTGTTTAAACCTTTTAAACTTGGCTATGAACCCATTTCATCTATCGATTGTTGTTGATTATATCTTAATTCACAATGCAACTTAAAGATTCGATTTTTAGTATATTTTAACAAAAGTCGATAAAATATATCAAAGAAAACACCTACAATGTGACTCGTGCATCTTTTCTATACTACGACGACTTGCCCTATAACAAAATTATCTTTTACAGCTTAAGACTTGTATAAATTTCTCGAAATACCCTTATAGTACTTAATTTTTTTGCCTCAAAGATTCCAACTTTTGACCGATAGACCTACCTCCCTCCGACCACCACTCGACCTTACCGTAGACGACGAAGAAAGAGTAAATTAGGCTCCACACAGCCTAGACCAACCTCATATCGTATAGGTATTTATACGTGTTGACCCCAAAAAATGTTGCCAACAGATGCCGGGCTCACTCGTGCACACGCAAGCTTGATCCAACACGCTAATGCCGATCGACGGTCATGATGGCTCCAGGTAATAGGCGTGGGAGTGGCTAGAAGGCACGAGACGTTTCCGTTCAGGCCACCGGCAAGAGTATGATACGATTGTATAAGAAACCAATCGATAAAGTATGATCTGTAGTAATGAAATGTTGTAAAAAATGCGGTTGAAATGAGAGAGATTGCTCCAAAATATTCAGTCTGCTCTCCAATTTTTGCATTAGCCCTCCTTTTGTGTTACATGGTGGGGGTATTTATAGTGTTACAATTCGAATGGTGACCTTTGGATCAATTTACACGTGGCCTCATCTCCTCGGCCAAGACATCAAATCCTAGCAATCAAGTTGACTTTCCTAACTTTGCAAAACATTAAATGTTCTTACATTGACAAAACAAGACACAGATAAATTTTTCATAAGAGTCACGTCAATCATTCATAAAAGATCTCCATCATAAGCGGATCTTTGTAAGTGGGTCTTCAATGGCTGCTGAGGAGCCTCGGACGATACATGACCCCCATCCCGCCTCGTAATCTATGGGCTCCTCATTCATGCTATACCACTCACCCGAGGCCCCAGACACTGACTCCTCCTCACTTCTAACTGCTGTAATAGCTAGAGACGCCTCGGAAGACATTGGAGTTTGGTGAAGATGGTGAACGGTACAAAAAAGGTTTGAAAGAGGGAAGAAAACTACGCAATGAGAAAGTACCTAGAACGAAGAAAGAACTCAGGGAATTCGCCGGAAGTTCGCCGGAAAATGCTTGGCAGCAAGACAGTTTTAGAAATTTCAGAGTATTTTGCGAAAGTAAAGTTTGAAAATGACAAAGTTTTGGCTTTTATACTGGTGAAGGATTCAGCCCCAGCCGTTGGATTAGATCTCAGTTAATCTGAGGCGTTCAAAAGGTACACAAATCTTGGCCATTGAAATCAAACGTTTTCTCTGCTTCAACGCTCCAGATTTGTGCATGCACGAACCAACATTGGCTCACGCGTGGACTTGTCCTCGAAACCACGCATCCTAATAATTAGCCATCATTGTGCATTAAATTACGACAGTTGTACGGCTATTGAAATTCGTCTCGATGCAGCTAACTTACCTTGGAAACATAAGAAACCGTCATATCACAGGCACTCATATCTATGGATATCGCCTCGCCTCGTCAAAAAGAAATCAGCTTCGGCCAGTTCGAATATGAACTCTCCTCGTCAAAAAGAAATCAGCATCGGCCAATTCGAATATGAACTCGCCTCGTCAAAAAGAAATCAGCCTCGGCCAGTTCGAATATGAACTCGCCTCGTCAAAAAGAAATCAGCCT